AAATTATTTTCTGTAATTTTCCGTTACATTGCATCATAGAGGGCCCATATATCGTCATTCATTTATTTGATTGGATGCTTTTAATCAGAGGTGGACAACCTAAGGTAGGCTCGGAGCTGCAGCCATAAAATTATTAAGGTTCCAATTATAAGGGGCCTCACGTGATTACAACGGTTATCGTATATTTGTATGGTGGGGTAACATCGAGCGATGGCGCATGCGCGTGATTGAAATGTGAGGGCAAAATGGTTTGAATTTTTATGCACGTGTTTCGATATTTTTTTTTTATTTAAAAAAAACGATTGAAAATGGAATTAAATGATGATAGTTTAGATTCAATATTCATCGGTGGAAATGAAAGTGGGATGCTCGTGAACTTGAGAAAGAAATATTTCATCGTCAATTAAAGATTAAAAGATAATTTTTTTTGATTGTGAGAAATTTGTTCATTTTAATTTGGCATCGAGAGCGGGAAATATAGAAATTAAAAGTTTGAAAATGCATGTCAAGTCAGGTCTATTAACAACACGGTAATATTTAATAATTGTTTTCCAAACAATAGTTCAATTATAATTCCAAAATTACTTCAAGAAATCTATGAAAGGTGCGAAATCTTTTTTTATTAAGACAATTAAAAGCAACCAATAACCAATCAAAAGGATAACAACAGAAAAAGCAATAATTAAAAAAATATTTCATTAGAGAAACAGAAATTTTTTCTATTGCACTTTTTCCACCACCACGTTTCTGCCGAATATCTCCACAGCTGCAGCCATAAATTTTGCCTAATGGAGGTCGAGAGCTGGAGTCGCTCCGAGAGCTGAGGTTGCCCACCTCTGCCTTAGTCGTTAAGTCTTAAAGACCCTCGAAGACCATTCATAGATATTCGAATATATGAGTAATAGAAAACGTTGCATTGGACTTTCTTATAACAGATTCGAAAGCTAATGAAAGTTCATGGGCGTTCAAATAATATATGGAATATTAATATTAAATGCGAAATTGACGATTCTTTGGACTTATTAATGCAATGTTTTCTATTAAAAGCAGAGGTGGGCAACATCAGCTCTCGGCAATACTCCAGCCCCCGACCTCCATTAGGCAAAATTATCCCAAACCATAAAGTTTACGGTTGTTCTATTTCTCTAATGGAAATATTTTTCAATTATTGCTTTTTTTGTTTTTTTTGTTTTTATGCTTTTGATTGATTATTGATTGCTTTTAATCGATTTTATAACAAAAAATTCGTACCTTTCATAGATCCCATGAAGAGAACATATTGTTTGCAAAAAAATTATTAAATACTATCATGTTGTTAATAGACCTGACTTGACATGAATTTTCAAACTTTTAATTTTTATATTTCCACGATATGCTCTCGATACCAAAACGTCCGACATGATATGAACTGCAAAACAAGGAAAATTTCCAATAAGTTGATAAAAATTGAATGAAAAAATATTCAGTTTTATCTAACACTTTCATAAATTAATGAAAAATGATCGATGTTGGCTGAATTAGGTATCAATTTGAAACTTATGCAATTACTTTTCAAAAGAGTATAAAATATATAGGCTCCATCGAATAAGAAAAAAAAAACAGAATTAACGCAAAAATTTTGCCATCACAAATTAATCAACGGTTCATGAGTGTATATTGATTTTCCATTCATTACTTTCATCTGTGGCAATTAATTGAGTTTTTTATGTGTCAATAATTTCTAATGCACTTTAATGAAGGCCATGCCGTATGTTGGATTCTATCTTCATAGACAGGTGATTAATTTTTCATAGTTTGAATGGAAAAGATTTTATAAAGTTTTTTGTGGTTTGGCCGCGAAACACCAGTTAATTTTCTAATTTTCCGTAGGCGATAGATGGATGGGAAAATTGATTACCTTGCAGACGGTCTCGGTGTCCCAGGGGAGTATCGATACGAGGTCCACAACCTCGCAGCTTGCATTGAGTTTCTTCTCAACCATATCAGCAGTCTCCAACAAAACATGAACCTGACTGCCCCATCCCACCAGCGTCACAGAATTCCCTTTATTACATTAAAAAAAAATGGCAATTTAATTTCATCAATTATACCATTTGACCATGAAATCCTCAAATCTTATTTCTCAATGATAAAAAAAATATGTCCTCGACAAATTATTCTTCATCTCCACGTATTGCACCCAAACTTGTTAAAAAACAGGAATTAAAACAAAAATACGAATACATTGATACTTAATTAATAAAAGAAATTCATTATACGTTTCTCTATAGTTAATTAAAAATGTGAAAATTTTCTTGAAAATCAAAATCAATATTTCCAAAAAACAAGGTAGTTCGTAACATGGAGCACTATTTTCCTGATCTCGGCGGATTACAGGATCAAAATAATTATTTTTCGTAAATGTCTTAGAAAATCGCATTCAAAGATCTTCAAAAGGAAATATATCTCATAAGAGGAGGTCTAGCACAGAAGAAACGAGTTTCCTGAATCTCGAAAAAATGTTCTTTTGAAGTTGTCCCGAAGGCTTGTGGAATATCTTGGAAACCCGAAAATTAGTCTACACTGACGTTTGGGTGAAAGGAAAGATTGATTTACCTTCTCTGAGGAGTTCAGCCTTGCCAATTGGCGTTCTGAATTCACCAGCGGGTACGTCATCAATAGCGGCACGATAAAGTGCTTTCGGTTCAAATATTATGCATGGATCCGGATCCTCGATACAACTCAACAGGAGACCTTTCGCCTGAATTGGGCCTCGAGGCACAACAATCTGCAAATCATCGGTTTTTACTTTCAACCTGGGGAGAAAAAATCGTCTAAAAAATGAGGATTATGCGAAAATTGCAAGTGAATGAAAGGATTGTTGAGTGAAAGGTTGAAGAATGGGAGGGATTGATGGGCGATTGATAACGGTTGGTTATTGTTGCTCACTCGATGATACAATCTGGTATTGAATGACAATGATGCCACGACCTTTAGGCATCGATAGTAGCGTCTGTGTCAGCTGTTCATTAATTATTGTGAGCTTAATGGAAGTCATTTGCGGAATGATGTGAGTGAACTTTAAATATCATTCAGACTTAGGAATTTAAATTGCCCAGCGGAAAAGCCACTGCCATCTGCTGCTTGATGGTGTTTCATTGACTTCAACTGACTCGAGGAGTTTTGTTATCCGTTGCAGAGGGCACAAACTCGTGGCTTGATTTTCTGAATTTTCTGATTTCTGGGGACTGATGAATATTTTACCTTCAAACCTGGAGTATGAGCGAAATAGGCCTCTGGACTCTGGGAGTGGTACAAAGCTCCATGACCAACGGCTCCACAAGGGGCTCGGATTGTCAATTTGCCACATTCAAATTCTCCTCCACTTCTGTATCTCATTTTTGCTGCCTCATTTACCAACTGTTGATAGTAACATTCACTTCAATTCTTTGATAGGTAATATCAATTTTTTGCATATTAAACTTATATTGTCATAATCTATTATTTTGTCTGAATCTCTCATAATATGCCCGAATTCCCTAGTTGCAGTCATCAGATAACATCCCATCATCAATACTAAGAACTTATACTTGTTGGTATAATAAAAAACCAATTAGCTTGAAAAATCGATTGGTTATAATTTTCTATAATATGACGACACTTTTTCTCATTTTATGTCATTTGAGACAATCTGTCAAAAAATTGAAAAGCAAAACATTCATTTTTCTGACAACTGCATAAAAAATCTCTCTACAAACATTTCCTATAAATAATAGTTATTTCCTTTGTAAGAATTAATTCTTGGACATGATTAATAAAAAAAATTTTGAAATAAGTTAGACGCGAGAATTTCTATATTGCAAAATTAGAATCAATCGGCATTTTTCCGTCGATTCTATGGCATGCAAAATAAGTAAAAGTCTTGAATAAAATTCGCGTAAAAAGTTTGAGAAAAGTTCCGTAGTTCTAGAAAATCTTCTGGAAAATCTCTTAGCTCTTCACGCGTGTCAAGTACTTCATTATTCATATTGAACTTGCCTGATCAAAAGCCGGGAATATGTAATCGGCAAATTGAATTTCCGCAATTGCGGTAGCTCCCTGATTGGCAAGACCAATTCCAAAGCCTGCGATACCTTGTTCACACAATGGGGTATTGAATACTCGATCAGCTCCAAATTGATCTTTCAAACCCAAAGTACACCGGAAGACCCCTCCAAAGGCTACATCCTCTCCAAAAATAACTAGAATAAAACAAAACAAATAAATAGGGATCAATGAATAACCGGGCAATAAGTTATACGCCAAAATTATTTATGTGTATCGCAAAATTACCATATGACTAGCTTTATTACATAATTTTTTCGGGCCAATAACATGAGACCTTTAACTATAGATATCGAAAAGCAATCGTCATCGAATGTTCATGATAATTAAATAATTTATGTCGACATATTAATATTGCATTTCGGGATATCGCCTTCCATATCATGTTGGAATAGATAACATCATAACTACACTGGACAATCCGCCAAAATATTCATATAATCGCTATTTGTTCACATCTTTTTCATCGCTAATTGGAAAAAAATTTAATTTTCAAATTTAATTTTACAAGTATAATTACAAAATTTGAAATCTGAAATTAAAGGTTTTTGACATTTAAATTTACATTCCTGTTACATCTCATTATCTCAGGAAATGTTATATTGCATATCTCTGTATTGCGAATAATTTTTTTGTAAAAGCTAGAAAAATTTTTTACCCAATGAGTCTGGTCATATCTCTCTTTCATCAAGTTTTCCATGAAATTGAAATTTTAAATAGAAAGTTTGCTGAATAGACGCATTTGCTTTTATTGACGTTTCTTTTTTCACAAAAGAAATAATAAAACGTTCCTAAAAGTTGGGAAATAATTGTTTTATATTCAATTGCATTTGAATTCACAATTACTTTTGTACAGTTAAATGCACCATTTTCGCGCTAAAAAAATCGAGTAAATGTGTCGACATACGTAGAGATAAGATAAGAGCTTATTACATCAACCGAGATGTTGTTGAATCGATTCGAGATACGAAAAACTATGAAACATAATAATAGTCAGAAATTTCTTCCAAAAACATTAAAACATTTTTGTTTAATTTTCCAGATTAATGTTCATTAATACTGGAAATCCTCGTATTACTTTCTTCGTCTCTTGATGCAATGAATGTATGATATTTTTCAATGAATCTTTCCAAGTCTTAGAGATTTAAATTTGTTTTAATGGTTAAATGAAATCATAGACTCATAGGATCGTACCTGCTGTAGAATCTCGAATCATTGCACATTTTAATGCTTCATTTATGGCCTGGAACATATTCAATCGTTGGGTCTCTCCTGGAAGCAAAAGTAAATAAAATTATGTTGATAATGGAACGATAATGGAAACTATTTAAAAAATGGTTTACCCGCATTTTGGGAGTTTTTATCCGGCACGAATGTGAAGTGCAATCTTCTTGAGAAAAGCCCATTTTCAGGTTTTAATTTTCTCAGTGGATTAGATAATAGTTTTGGTAGCGTGTTGTGAAAGCCAGCGCACAACTTACTTAGAGTCATGTTCGATAAATACTACTTGCGACGAGCTAATGATAACGAGCTGCGGGTATATCTTATATGAGTTATTTACATAGAGTATCGCCTTCGAAGTGGATCGAATTCATGATGAATTTCACTACCTGTTGCGACAGGAAATCGTATGATCCATTGATTGATTGTACCTTTATTGCTCTACAGTATCTTCGACACCATAGAATATGAAAAATACATCGGATACAAATATACAGCGAAAATAAAAGCAAATTCATCGAGTAGGCACATCAGCAGTGAGATTAAATAATTAAAATAAACTGAGGAGAAACTAAAAAAAATGTATATATAAAATTAAAATTAAAGTAAGAGACTTATTCATTTACAAGTGAACTGAATAAAATATTAATATATCAGAAACAATAGGAAGACTGTCGTTGAATTTTGCGTGTACTGAAATTTTATTTTATTAAAAAAAATTACAAAACATTTCCAAGCAACCTCCAGTTTAAAATAACTTAAAGTAGAATTAATATACTATTATTTTCTGAATAAATATCGAATTGAACGAATTTCTAAATTTACTGATTTTTTCCAATCGACGGAAATATTAATTAAAATACTGAGAAAAATACTACAATCATTTCTAGGATGTCTTGAATTGAATTTAGAAAATTTGAATTTTGTGAATCCTGGACTCTCACTATAAAATCATCAACTTTTATTTTTTTACCTTCACAAAAAAAATATTTGCGTGAAATTATTTTCCATTTCCAGATATTGAAATTTCATTCCTTGAAAATTAGCAATTGTGTGACTAAAAATTGAGAGTACAATCATAAATAAATACTGTGGGGGTAAATTTAATCATTTAGGATATTTCTCATAGCCACCAGATTGAATCACAAATTTTATGTTGAATTCTCTAATTTATTCATTGAACTTTCTTATTTGTGGACTGGTTTTCGAAAAAGGGAGCGTGAAATTGGTCTATAATGATTTGATTGTTATGAATCATCTCGGATTACTCCCCCTGGGAAAGTTCCATGAGGTTTGCAATAATAAAATATGCAAAAGACCAGAAGAATATACGCGGAGGGTTTTTACTCGATTCCGCCACGTGTCTATCCCCACTTCTGTATTGAATAAAGTTTCCATGACAACTTGGGTACGCGTTCATACGAATCCGGGTGAATGCCACCTGAAAGCAAACGTCAATTGTAGCCAGTTGTTTCAATCTGCCGTGCCTAAATGACTGTTAATTGCCCGAAAAATGGTGCAAATCGATTGGGATCGAATAAGAGGTGTCAGGGCCTCAACTCTCACAGACAGCGAGATCGAGGACTTATTTCCTATGGTGATAAAATGCGAAACCGAGGATATAGATGATATTTTCGACTTGCGTACTGTTATGAAGTTATCGCAGGAAATGTTACAGTTCAAGGATAATCAGGTGAGTAAATAATTCAATTATTCAACCCTCCAATTACAATTTGTTATGCAAAATTACGCTATAAAGCACAACAAACCAACCCAACAACAATTCAATGAACAATCTCACAAAATTGTTGCCTACACAAGATTTTCTTTTAATGGAAATATATTAGGTATCTCTTGGAGATATTCTGGAATAACATTGAAAAGTATAATTGATAAATCTATTATAAAAATTACTAAAAAAAAGAGATTTTGTTAGTCCAATACTAATGAGAATTGCATGCACCCTTATTTATTGAAAAGCGACACCATGATTGTCTTTTTTTTTATTGGTAATAATTTATTTGTTAATTTCATTATGAGGAAAGAACGAAAATTCGATGGAAAAAAATCGTAAAATTCCCCATAAAGAATGTCTATTTCAAATTTTTTGAATAAATACAATAAGCCAATATTATAACATAAACCAAAAAATAAATACCTAGACTGGGCCACTGAATTTTCGAAGAAATAAAGGAAAAACGCTGCATTTGTCTGTTTCGTCAATTTCATGCGTTTTAATTTGTTCTCAGGTGGAATCTTTATTATTAGAATGCGACGAGCTCAAAGAAAAACTAGCCACAAGTTCACCTTCATCGAGGAATAATCGAAGGCCTCCAGAGGCTGATGCTATTGAAGAGGACATGAATGACCCGAAATTACGAGATGCATCATTAGCCGAACATTATGAAGAGATGCTTCACGAGAAAAACGATAAGATCAAGACTCTTCTGCTGGAGCTGGAGGGAATCGAGAAGGAAAATATCGATCTCAAGCAAAAATTAGAGGCATTAAAAGAGGAAATGGAGGATGCAACAGAGAGCATGAACGAAATGACAGATGAACTGAAGGATTTACGAAATCAGACTGTTTATTACAAAGACGAAGTGAAGCATTTGAAACAAGAAAAAACAGCTCTGTTCACCCAAATAGAGGAAATAACAGCCCAACAATTAGACAGGGATCAAATAATCGACGAGTTCGGAGCTGCAATTGACGTTCGGGTGTCAGAATGGAAAGACATTCTGGATAATAAAGACACGGAAATTGCACATTTGAAGGAGCAGGTCTCGCAATCTCGTATTCACAGCACAACTGGAATGAGAGAACACCAGACATCTCAGATTATTTATCTTAATGGAGAAATTGAAAGGAGGGATGTAGAGATTTCGGAGCTAGAGGAGAAACTGCTGGAAGCAGCTAGCGAGTTGAATGCCAGTGCAGAGGTCATGGAGGAATTGAAGAGGAGTAATAAGAAGTTGGAGAAGAGTGGTAAGCGGAAGGAGCACAGGGATCTGCTGAGAAAGGCCCAAGAGGCCAATGAGAAGATCTCAGTGCTCCAAAAATCCCTTGGTGTCGCTGAGGATAATCTCATGCAAAAAAGCCAACAACTCTGTGATCTCCTGGACACTCTGAGGAGATATGAAGATAAAGATCATGGACTTACCGAGGCACTCGATGAAATTAAAGATCTCAAAAAACAACTTGATGCCAAAAATCAACATGTCCAAGATTTGGTGACTGTAATCAATAAATTAGAGGATTTCAACTCTCAGCAGGAGATGCAGATCGCAGCCTTGAGGTCTTCACTTTAATTTGTTCTCATCGAGCATGAACAATCGATTTTATTAATTGAACTAATCAATTAATTTATAAATTTTCCAGGAAAAAATTGGGATTACCTGAGGAGGAAGAGGTGTCGATTGAAGGTGTAACTCTCAGACATCAACAGGAAGCTACGATGAAGAATCAGTTGATGCAGAAGAATTCAGCTCTTGAACAAGAGAATGTCGATCTTAAGGCGGATATTCGTACCCTGAGGTACAGATTGAATAAATTAGGGGAGAAAATTCTCTTATCACGAGATGCCACGACTTCTCGGAGGAAATCAATACGTCCTGATACATCGAATAATGATAATTGGATCGCAGAACACGAAATCATCGCCCTGAAACATAAGACTGAGATGGATGGGCTCCAGGAGAATGTTAGAGTAGTTATTGAAGAGAATGAGGCTCTTAGAAAGGGAATGCATGAGATTCTGGATAGCATTCGTGACCAAGATGGTGAATTTTCTAGTTTTTCTGGGTACTGGTGTGAGGCATAATGTTTCATTCTGATTCACAACTCCCATGTCCTCCAAAAATGAGAAAATCCTATAGAAAGAAATAGTGCTTCCTATGAACATTGAATTTAGCATTTCTTTTTCCATTTTTATCTCTGAGAAACCCAATGAAGCTCTGTTGAACCTGACTTTTTTCTTTATTCCAGGCAAAGGACCAATTGATGTTCAATCTGGAACTCTTGAACGCCTCCTCGAGGCTCTAGATGTGAGACATCTAGCTGGATGGTACCACCCAGCAATGAGGCTTCAGGAACGTCTAAACGTCGTCCAAGGAAGCAACACAGAATTGAGAACTCAAATAAAGCACTTGAGGAAGGAAATCCAGAAGAAAGACGAATTACTCCGTAAAATAGCGACAAAAGGGGAGATCAAGTCTGACAGATCCTCCTCTGAGTCTGACAATCAAGACATCAAGACAATCATAGCCGAGTTCCAGCAAATGCAATCAGTCTATCGCAAAGAGCTCGAGCAATGGGACGAAGAGAGAGAGTCTCTCCAAAAGGAGAATTCCGATCTCAAGGAGACGAATGAAAAAGTGACAGCACAATTGGAGATATTCGAGATAGATTTGAAGGCCATTGAAAGTGGTGAAGAGGAAACTCAAAGAGCTCTGGCAGCGCGAACCACAGAATGTTCTGAATCCGCAGTGAATCGAATCATCACCAGCAGAAAATTGTCTGCTATGGAAGCTCTTCTCAGTAGTGAATCAATGAAACTATTTCAGGTAAAGAAAGAAGCCGTCGCTGCTGAGAGCACTTACAGGAAAATCCTCGCTGACATGGAAAAACGTGGGAATCTACTCGAGAAGAAAATCAAGAAGTTAGAGACCCAGATATTAAATTCTATCAGTAAAAACGAGTACGATGATCTCAAGGAGAAGTATGACCAAGTCAACATGCGTCTGAGAACTTCGTATGAACTTCAATTCGGTGTCGAAGACTCGAAGGAATCGACTGATCGGTCAGACTCCGCCATTCATTCCCCTGGGTCTAGGTCAAAAGAAGATAACGTGAAGAATCTTCTGACGATCAATTCCGAATTGAAGAATCAATTGAGTCATGTGCAGAATTCTTTGATCCATTATTTACAGGCTCCGCCAGATTCCATAGATGATAAAAATCAAATCACTCAACTGCAGGATCAAATCGAGACGATGAAAATCGAGAATGAGAATTTAGTTAAGACTCTGACGATTTCTCGTGAAGAAGCCGAACTGCATTACATTATGAATTCGTTGAAAACCCTGGAGCTGGATAATTTGAGGCATCAAATATTGGATCTCCAGGCGGTTTCCGAGGATAAAGAAACGATTGGGCGGTTGGGAAACGAGTTGAATAACTTGAAAGCCGTCGAAATCGAGATGAGCAAGCGAAAAATTCAGATGGAATCAGAAATTTCTCGTTTACGGAATGATCTAGAGGTCGCAGCCAATAAAAGAGACGAGGCACAAGCTAAACTTGAAGATTTTCGTCATTACTGCAGCAGCAAATGCAAAGCCTACACCGATATTATAAACTTCCTGCAGACTCAATACTCAGGAAGTACCTCAATAACATCATTACAGAGATACGAAGATGCTCTGCAGAAATTGAACGAAAGTCGTGAAGAAATATCATTGAAGCAGAAGGAAATAAAAAATCAGAGCGATAGTGTTAAAAGCCAACAGGAAGCCCTGACGAATCGCCTGGCGATTGTCGATCAACTGAAAGGTATCCTCGAGGAACAGATCGGTAATTCGGAACAGCAATCGATAATGCATCGATTCTCGGAGCACTCGCAGAATACTTTAAACGAGTACCGATACAAGAGACAAATATCGCACCTAGAGACTGAACTGCAGATGATGATTAATAAACTGATTGAATATGAATCAACGATCAGTCAATTGGAGTATGAAATCGTGAACATGCAGAAGATTTGGAAGCCAAAGACAGACACTTCAGCCAAGACTGTCACAATTTCTAGCCCAGTAACTCAAGAAATCGAGAAGAAATCGGTTTTCACGGAAGCGAGAGTTGAGAGTCATTCAGTGGAAACACAAAGCGATTTGGTGGTTGAACCCCAGGTTATCTCCGTTCTTGCTGAAGTGCAGAAAATGGAGAGAATCTCGAATAAACGAGAAAGCACGGATGTAACAGACAACCGAGTATTATTTCTCCAGGATCAGCTGAAGGAAGCTCTGACTTTGGCTTCAGATCGTTCAGCGAAACTCATTGATTACGAATCCCAAATAACTGAGTGCAGAGCTAAACTTGGGGTCTTGGATAAAGCCCTGACTGACAAGGATACAGAGATCATTGAAAAGAATAAATTGATTAGCCAAAAATCCTCTGACAGTGGTGGAGACGTTGAGGGAGCTAGCAAAGTGGCTCTCAAGTCAACTATCAACAGCTTGCAACTAATTATCAGTCAGAAGGAGGAGACGATCACACGGTATCAAACGCTCTTAAAAGAGGATAGGGACGAGCACAGTAAAGCCGCAGCTCGTCTTCAGGAGGAGATAAAAAACCTCCGAAAAGAAATATGTGGCTTAAGAGATGAGAATAATACGAAATTAGAGAAGAGGGGCCTGAACGAAGTAACAGAACCTGACATTTCCCTTTTAAAAAAAAAAATACCAGAAGACTCGAAGAAAGAGCCTCAGCCTGACGTCGAAACTGAGGAGAAGATCGCAAGATTGGAGGAACAGGTGTCAACACTGGAAGCAGATCTCCACATTACAAGGGAATTGAGCGACCGCTGGAGAAGACTTGCTGAGGAGAGACTTCAGCACATGGACGATGTCAGGGACAGGCTGGAGACTCAGCATAAACGGGAACTTGAGAGCTATCGAGAAGAGTTGGACAAGTGGCAGAACGAAACGAGTGCTCTGAGAGAGCAGTTGTCTGAGAATCGTATGAAACTGGCTAAGGGGAATATATCGTTATCCAAGGAGCTGCAGGACCGTGACACAAAGATCGAGGAGTTAACAGTGGCTTATCAGCAGCTTCAGAACGATTTTGATATGATGGAACAGATTAATCAACCAGTGAGTGTTCACAGCTCTGCGACCAACAAAATTCAGGAGGGATTGCACGGGCGTGAGGCATCTCATCATCTGCAAAACGAGTTGGATCATCAGAGAAGGCAGCACAAGTCTCTCATGGAAAAGGAGAAGCTGTACAGAGATCAGATCGTTGATTTAAAGCAACAGCTCAGCAGGAGGTATATGGCTGAGAAGACTGAGGAAAGAAAGGCATCACAACGAGAGTTGCAGTTGGAGAGAAAACTGAAGAGCATGGAGGAGGAGCTGAATAAGGCTAGGCTTCAGTTGGATCACGAGTACAGGGCGCAAGAAGCTAAGAGAGTCAAAACAGCTGAGGAGTTGTCACTCTGGGAGAAGCAGAAGAAATGGCAGCAAACGGCTGAGAAACTCAAGAAAGAGTTGAAGGAGAAATCTGATGAGTACAAAAAGTTGAGCTCCAGCTACGATAAACTCAGAACTGTTGTGTCCTGCATGGAGCGTGAAAAATGGTACTTGAGGAGTAAATTGAAATCTGAGAGTGCCAATAGCGCTTGTGGCTTCTCAGCACCTTCCGAATTCAACTACAAAGTCGTTGAAGATTTGCAAGTTGAGTGTCAAACGCTAAGGGATAGAATTAATGAACTGACCAATCGTCTCGAATCCGAAGATACAACTCAGCTGTTTCTTCAGCTAGAAAAGCAGAAGCGGAGGATCGCTGCTTTGGAAATTGTTGCCGAGGGAAATTCCCACACTGTCGATCAATTAGAAAAATTAGAGAAAGCTAAAACAAGTCTGGAGAAAGTGAATATTAAATTGGAGAGTGAGAATTTTGAGCTGAAGATGGATCTTGAAAAGCTCCAAGTGGATACGCCACGTCTCAGAGAAAAGGTCGAGCATCTGGAGAAATACGTTGAATTGCTGAAAATTGAGAAATCCGCGGATTCTGACAGATCCTCTGAGAAAGAGCAAGAACACTTATCCAAGAAATCAGCTCTGGAATTGGAGAAAACCATATATGTTCTTAAACGAATCGTCGAAAAGCTCCAAGCAGAAAACAAGAGGCTCAGGCTCAATTCCAAGAATCATCATCGCTTGACTAAATTCAATTCTTCGTCAAAAATCTCGGTCCGGGAGGACAATTCCACCCTGAAACGTCAGTACGAACAGGCGAAGAAGCGAGTTATTGCACTTGAGACTGATCTACAGTTGGCAGAGCAAAGAATTTTGATGCTAGAGAAAGTCAGGAGCGAAGAGGAGAATTGTGGAGAAGTTGGTATTCTCAAACATCAATTAGCTCACAAGTCGGAATTATTGGATAAGGTTAAACTGCTCCTGACGCGGGCCGCTGTCAACGAGAAAGCACTTCGTCAGAGAGTAAATAGACAAAAACTCATCTAAAGATTATTGTCAATTTTTCATAGAACACTATAAATTTTATGAATTAAAAAAAATTAGAATTATAATATTAGCTGATTATCGTTGAAACTTCATTTTTTAAATTCCATTGAATTTTGTCAAGTTATTGAAAAAAAACTATCCATTCAATTTGAAAATGATTTGACATAAAATATGTCTTAATATTTCCTCCTAAAATCAATAATTGCTCAGATCAGTCGACATTTAACAAACATTCTTATTTGACTTTCCAATATTATTATTCAATAATGGACTTTTATTGCAGATACGTCAGATTGAAATGAAACAAACACTGGCTACAATACCAGAATGTCATTCCTCACCTTCACAAAGCACTTGAAGCCAGCGGAATTACGACCCTAATATCAATTGTAAATAATTTCTGTACAATGGCATGAAGTCTTCATTACTGACTTTTCGAAACGAATCACCGTTTAATAAATAGCGTAAAGTGTACAATAATACGGGTCAAGGTAAATAAATTAATTAATTAACATGAAGAGTGCAGTCATCGAGAACAACTAGTTCTCCAGCTAAAATAATGGCAAGACGATCGATTTCAGCGTTCATTAACCACGGCATTGACAGTTCATCCAGAAATATTCCTCCCTAGTCCTCATCCTCATCCACTCGGTGAATGAATTGCTCAATAGTGTTTATGTCCTCGCAATCCGGAATAGATTTTCCCTTGAACTTGAGGCAGGATTCAGCGCAGCGTTGACCCTCAAAGTACTCGCCGAACATTCTCTTACATTGTGCGCAGTTCCGTATGCATGTACCTGTCATTGACAATGCGGAAAATCCACTGATAGAGAGATTAATCTATTGTCAATCAGATTTATTAGCTATTTAGGAGCGATAGCATTCAATACGATAGACCAATAATTACGGAATATTTTCCAACTGAATTTAACTCGTAGTCAATTTTTCTTCTTTTTTTTTTATTCTGTGCTAATGAATCTTTACTGACCCACTCGATCTTTGGTGGCACCTGCAGGTGCTGTCAGGTGAACAACGACGATAGCAACGATCAGCAAAGAAACCAGGCGATGAAGAGGTGCCATGACTGCCTAAATAGACCGAAATAATTACTCCTTGTACACATGTTGTCATGTCTAATGACTTTATCTTACAAATGTGCTCTTCCTTTTTAAATGATTCAGTCAATTAGTCAATGTCTTATTTATTTTAATATTCTCGCACCCTTCACCGCAACCGAGGAACTACTTGAAAATCCCAGTCCGCGACGACTTATCCTCTTCGACTTTATGGGCCCACAACACCAAGTATCGGAATATATAAAAGTCCGATGGCTTGTAGCAATTAATAATTCGTGTATGTCACTTGTGGTTGGAGAATTCCCCCTGAAGGCTGTCTCACACCTCCAGCAATCGACATCGATACTTTTTTATACGAACGGTTTATAACCGGAATCTTTCTCATCACTTCCGCGTTTACCGGTTCGCCATTGTGGAATTTAATACTTGGCGATCAATTGTCTTGTCCTAACTTACAATAGCCCGTTAAAAGAGAAATCATCCGGGGATTCCCGGAATTTTAGGCCATTAGAACCCGGAAGACTTTATTTCAATTCGGAAGGAATCCACTCCTCTTTTTCATTCACCAAATATCATCCTTAATTGAAGCTGACATTTAACATGATACAATTCAAATTAAAAAAATATCAGCATAAAAATTTGCAAACATTATGTTTAGGTCTTTGAGATTTTTGGAACGAATTCTTTTCTTTTAGACAAATTCTGAATCGTAGCGCAATTATTTCATACGAAAAATATTGAGAAATTTTGGATAATCATCAGTCGGAAAATTTGGGACTTCCAAAGGATTTGTTCTACAACAAAAATTCTTGAAACAATACTTACTTGATTATTCAGAAGATTTTTATTTCAGAGTGGAAAAACCTTGTTCAAATGATTGGAATGATGGTAGGGACGTTCGTATCTGCTTTTATACTTGAAGAATGTCAACCCCATGCAACCCCCTGTGAATTCACTCCAATCGAATTGTCTCAGCCATAATTTAATTCCTCCAATTTCCAGTACTCCCAGATAGGAAGTAACAACGACTGATTTTTCGGAAATTTTGCGATTCAAGGGGCTGATTAATTGAAAAACAATTTGTAAAGTACTTTATGGAAATCTTATGAAAAATCTAATGAATAATTACTTTGTTGCCAAGTCTATTGAGTAAATTTATATTGAATTAAAATATAAATTTAAAGATATCAACCTATACGTTCAAAACATTATAGAAAAGTCATGGAAAGTTTTTGGAAACTATTGGACATCAATGAAATCTAAAATATTATGTTTTACCTTATTTTTCATTGCTCTTTCAATTACAAGATTTATACAAGAGTAATCTGCAACAGAATTTTCGTTTCCTTGACTACATCGAATAAATTATCAATAGCATCCGGGTTTAAATTTAGTTGTGTCGAATACGGAAATGAACGTCACCCTTAGCCAGTCGTATTAATCAAAATATTACCATCAATTACAGATAGGGTTTATAAACAGCTGTGTTACACAACTCTGATTGGCAAACAGTATTTATTAACAATTTATCACTAGTCAGGAAGAGACCTCGGTCTTCAGCAACTAAATACTTCATAATTCACTTGCAAACTAATAAATTCAGATAAGTCGAATTGTCCAGTCCCTTTCAATATCAACAGACCTTAAGGACCGGTTGGATTATCTGGAAAAGATAATTTACTCCAAAATTGGGATTCCTAATTACTCTGGCAATTAATCGTTTTTTTTTCAATAATTGTTAGCTAGCGTTCTAGCAGTTGTCAACGACTAGAACGCTAGCTACCAATTATCGGAAAAAACAATTAATTGGCGGAGTAATTAGGAATCTCAATTTTGGAGTAAATTATCTTTCCGAGATACTCCATCCGGCCCTTAAAAAAATATTGATTTTCTGTAAAAATATCAAGAGAGCTTTTTTTCAAAAATTTCATCATCCCCAAAAAAATCCTTCAACACTTTCATCATAAATTGATAGTTTTTTAGATAAATAAATCAATTAATGAATCTTTTCAGTTTCTTCTGAATAACGACCTTAGGCATTGGTTTTGTCTGTCCTTGAGGGAAATCCGTACTCTAAAACCCACTGCTTTTGATATTTCGGTCTATTGTTCTTTCTCTCTTGGCCTTTAGGCTCATAATTTTTAACTCTGATTGGAAGTTTAGAAAGAAATCCTGTCACACTGTGCGAATTTGTCGGTTTTTCATCGGTTTTAAGGTCTGATTTTTTGAATTTGTGAATGACATCGCCAGTAAAGTGTTTCCTTAGAAAATCATCAGGATTTGCGTAAGGTTCGTTTTGAGACTCGTGGGACTCAAAATAATCTTTGGACTCGTCTTCGTTGGTTCCATCATTGTGAGGCCCATAATAATCGCTATATCTCCAATGATTGAACTCTTCCTCTTCGCTGTCATCTGTTAGTTCCTTTCTCGATGCTTCAGCTTTCGACTCCTCTGTATTTGTCTTATGATTCCGATGGAAAAGTTCGTTAATGAACTTATCGAGATCAAACGGCTTGACAAAGTCCTCAACATCGAGGGAAACGGGTTCGAGCTCCGCTTCAGCTGATCCGGTGATATTTTTAGGATTTATTTTAGCATTGCTGAACTCCTCACTTTTTTCATCAGGTCTTGAATTTTTAATCGGTCGTTCCTCCGACCTCCGAACTACCTCGCTGTCCTTTCTACTCTTTCCGTGTTGATTTCCTACCTGCGAAGTCTCGCCAGAGTCATTGGCAATTTTTTTCACCGTAAAATCCTCCTCTTTGGTTCGTTCACTTTCGCTCCCAACGAATGGAGATGATTTTTCCCCTTCCTCGTTTGGTAATGTACCAGGGTCAACAGCGTCGTTGTCCACATTACTGTATTTATCCTTCACTGAAATTAAAAAATGTTTCCAATTACCATAGAAATATTAGCAACAATGCAAGTACTTGACTCTCTTCCGCTATACGAATAATTATGCAATACTCTTCTTGAATTATCAATTATAGTGGCAATATTAAATAAGAAACTTTTTTTGACATTTTCTTATAAAATCAATAGTTTTTGAACCCCCAGAATATTTCAGACTTCAACTTCAAAAACGCTTTACAGAAAATTGTTTTCAATATCAATAAACTTTTTTCCTCATTATTTACGCCAATGTGTTATTTTTTGACACTTTCCTGAGAGTTTAATTCTCTAAAAGTGTTCTTGAATGAAGAAAGCTTTTTTTGCATTTCAGAAATTTCAATAAAATTTTTAATAGTTTACAATTTAATTACAATTAATTTTACTGTAGAAATTTGTCTCACTATTTTCATTGTTATTGTCATCGAGACTCTCCTCCCGCCTGTCAGTGTAATCTGGCACTTCAACATAAGGAATATCGTCAGGATTATAAGGAAGAATATCAGAATGATTGCCCTGATCCGGTGGACTACTGATAACTGCCTGATGGTCCTGAAGGTTCACATAAGTCCTATTCGCCTGTTTCGTTTCCTCGGGTAATTTGTAGGGCTCTGAACCGACAAGGAAAGGGTCAGGATCAGGTATGACAATTCTCCCTAAAAACCTATTGGAATTTATAGAGAGATTCAGATCCGAGACTTCACTTGATGTGCCATTGCAGTTCCCAATGATCGTCGTGTAAGAGAGTGGTTTCGATGGGAGTGGAAGGACTATGGGCTCGTTGACTCCAGGAGGTGTTCTCCTGAATGATTCACTAGATATTGCTATTTTTTTTTGTGGTTTCGACTGCTCCTCGACACTCAGTCCTGGATGACGATAAAGGACCTCTGGTTTCACTCCCACGAGTTCCAGGTTTGAATACCTCTTCTCTATCCTCGATTCGCTGAGGGGGTAGTTGGGTAATTTATCGGGCGCCGGAAGGTCTGCTGATCGTTTGAATCGCGGTGGAATTTTTGGTTTTAAATATTTTGGTTTGAACACCTCTGAGAACTTCCAGGATGCCGTAACAGGGTTTTCCGAGGGTTCAGGAAAAAAGAGGCCCTCATTTATTGATTTTGGCGGGCTTGAGGCCGATAGCACAAGGTCTTTCAGCTTCATGGGAAGTCCATGGGGTTTTATTAGTACATAGGGTCGTGTCCACGGCGTACGAACTCTTCTTCTCTGAAAAGCAAATGGCCCCGAACTGAGAGAAAATTGTCATTTTCACTCTCACTTTCACTCCCATTTTCTGTAGATCCAGCAAGTAAAAATTGTAAAATTAATGTTTAATTTTTGGTGAATTTCTGCTAAATCTTTTCAGAACTCTTGTGAAGGTTTGTTAAAATTTTGACCAGTTTTTTACGTTACTCCATTACTGTCCGAAATATACAAAAATTAAATTTAAAAAACTTGAGAAAATCCGTGGACAATAATTTTATAAGAAGATATTTGAAGAGGACAATCGATGAGGAAAAATAAAATACTATTGACTTTTTCCATCAAATATCACATACCAGATGGAATCCTATGAAATTCATAGAAAATTTGAATTAGCAGTGACGTTCTATAATCGATTAAAAACCTTTAGAGATGGGTTTTGAATTTTATTAATGGCACTGTTGTGGCAGAGACTTTATTTAATCATGATTACTATGTACAAAAAATTATGTATAAACAATATTGTGGTTCGTTTTTACAGTGACCCATGACATCGCCACTTTAATGATCAATAATCGACTAATAAATGGTTGATTGAAATTCTCATGTCATCAGAATGAAATCTCTTTCATTTTCATTATTCCTTTAAATATTCGTGTTCTCGTGTCACTGACATGGTGTATTTACATTCTAGTCATAGCTAAATTCTAGTGAAATACATTAAAGCGGGTGCACAATATCCTAGGACTTCCGATTAATTGGGTTTCTAATATATTAATCTCGAATTAAATGCGACGTAATAAGAACACGTAATGTTTGCCTCAATGAAATGCGAAAAATTGAAGTCCGCGCTGAGGGTGGAAATTTAATTTTTTTTCTTCATTTTTTGACTTGTTTGACTTGTTTTGGCAGGCTGCAGCATTTTAATATGTCCTATGGGATTGATGCATGAGAAAAATAGTCGCTTTCCTTCCCTAAAAGTCATAGATAAGCCCGTTGGCGGAGGGTAGAACTTTTTTAAAATTCTTTCTAGCTTTTATAAGTTTTGATAGTCCCAATACTATTTACAGGGTTAATATATGGAAAATCAACGATTGGTTGATAGAAAAATTGGATTTTGGGAAAAATGTCACTTCCCTCCCCCAAAAGCTCTTGACCGAGGTGACATTTTTTTTCATTCTTGCTTTTTTGACACCTTTCCGCATTGTACAGTCCTCTACAAGTTGATTAGGTGGAGAATTAATGAGGAAAATGTGTGATAACGAGAGTTATGAAACAATCGGTCAGTTAGTACGTACACTATTATCCTCAAGCACACTAAACATTCTTACAAATACGAAAAAATAGACATCTTCAACCAGGTGCGAATCTCCATACGTTTGATTACCACAATCCGGTGAACAACTTCCTTTTACTTTCCAAAGTGCCCATACTGATCCGCAAGATTACTCACGTATTGGGCAGCGTGACTGGCAGCTGGATACTCGGCCCATTTGCTAAAGTCAATACTCGGGAGTACACCACTTTTGCACGGCACACGAGGATTTCTAAAAATTGCAGTGAACGGATTAACATCCCTTTCTCCACACAAATAAATCTCAAGAAATTGCTGAAATTATATTCGATTATTACGTCATTATTTTTGAACCCACAATTTAAAATCAACTATCAAGAAGTAAACTTTGGAAATGAGAAAGAAAGCGGAATCTTTAGAATATTTGGACTTTTAGAAAAATTTTTTGGTTCGTCAACCATTTCGGTTACATAATCTTTCCAAGATTTTTGCCAACATGTGATATTTTATATATAAAAACAAAAATTCCCCAGAATATTAAATAAACTCGAGCCTAATTGCAATAACTGACTCACATCTCGTGATCTGGAAGAACCATTGGGTACACCTGTATCGTATCAATGAGATCCGTATTGTCGCAAATGAGTCTGGCCAGTTTTGTTTTGCGGATTTCATTCAGTTGGTCTGTTTTGCAATTAAAAAAAAATACAATTAATTTCATCTCCATCAAAATCTCTCACAAAAATAGTTTTTCACCACTAGGTCTGAAAATAACTCATTTCCAGACTGGAAAATGGTGGTTTTTAGGCGCCTGTCTGGAAAAATTCATTAGAAAACTATTTTATCGTTTTATTAAAGAAATTCTATTGAATTTTTATTTGTTCTGTGTTTTTTGCATTAACCAAAAAGTTCATGGATTTTTTGTTTTTTTTTTGTGGAGATTCTGAAAATTAATAGATTTACCTAGAGTGAAGGATGACGGTTGATTGGGCAGTTCATACCAGAACCTGTCGCCACGCCTGGAATTGCTGAATTGCGTGGCGATGATGCAGGCAAAGGTGGGTCCCAACATACTGCCAGGGAGTGGACGTTCAGAGACGCCTCCAGACCAGAGATCCACGTCTGCTGGATGCGTGAAAATGGAACTGTAACGTCTGATAGTTTCGTTGGACATTGTACCGAAGAGCTCCTCGAAATTGTGCGCCTCAGGTAGGCCACACAGTTTTCTGAACTCCATATACGATGGAACCCCGAATTCCCTTCCCCGCTGCATGTTGAAAGACACGAGGTCCATCCCATGTCTGGCGCCCACTTTTTTGAACAAATGGTTCGTCACCTGTCGATTAGTCAAAATTAATATTGCATTTTCGAGAATTATATGGAACTTCTGTCAATCAATCTTTCTATCGATTTTTTTGTCATCAAATTATACTTTGGAAAAATATATCAAATTCATTTCAGATATATTTTTTACCCATTTTTCAATGAAGTGATTCTGTTCAAGTCTCCAAGGGAAATTGGGAAAAAGTTAATTGAAGTTTTGCAAAAAAAAGACTTACCTCCTGCGTGATAGAGTCGTCCATGGCCTGGGCGACCTGATTCATCAACCCCATGAAGTATTCATCGAGTACACCAGCGCGATAAAGATCATAAGGCCTTCGGATCAGGTCCGACAATCTCTTAGAAGCTGTAAAAATAAATCAACAATTTATCACTGAACAGGTTCAATTCAAATTCGAACATATCAAGCTTCGGAATCGTAATGGAAAATTAAAGTCTTATTTATGTCAATTCACAGGTGTCATGAAAGGAGAAAATTGATTGATTAAATAATAATTAATCAATTAATGATTTTCCATGTAAAAATTTATGGAATTATATTTTATTTATTGACGAGCAGGTAAAGAGGGATAAACCGATTTTTTATGTTGTATCAAAAAATTGATTGTTTCGAAAACCATTGGTTTTAAGAAAAAATGTCCAGATCTTTTTCCTCGGGGACTGAATCAGCTACAAAAAAAAATCCATAATGTTTCTTCCGTAAATCCATCAATTAATAAAAATATTGAGTTCGATTTGTTCAATTTAACAATTTAACAATTTAGCAATAAGCAATGAATAAAATAACAAATAAAAATGTGGTAAAGACTTGCCAATGAATTTATGTGCTTTACTCCATCGTTCAACAGCTGTAGGCAACAAGGAGTGACCGAACCTGAAGGCTGCGGCAGCAAATGCGTCAATCACCCCAGGATTTACACTCGGATCATATCCGTCCCAGTAATTCTGAAAATTTCAAATGATCTTTACGATTTTCTATTGGAATAATTCTAAAATTCAGTTAATCCTATCCATTAAAAAACTGACTCGATAACCCGATTATTTTTATCGAATGAGATTGATTTCATATGAATTATTTGGAGGCTCAATGACGTACGTGTTTTTCCAGCAAAAGTCCGAATTTCGCCATAACATCTTTGCCCAGGAGAATGGGTAAGAATTCATTGTAAGTGACATGTTGAATTTCCGCGATGATGATGCGTCGGGACTCCTGGAAGAGCATTTCATCGTCCCAGTGGGGATTTACTTGAGCGAGACCTTTTGCAATTCTGTTGTGCTCTCTAGCCATAAGTGTGTGCATGCAGGTGAGCACAAGTTGCTCATTCACTCGAATTTCACCTATAAAATTCAATCACCTCATTACAGACTGTTTCACCGGGTGAATTATCTCCTTAAGTAATAATCATGCTCTAATTTTACGCCATCCTTCATTCTCAATTATTCAAAACGTACACATGTAAGGGGTAAAGTGCTTATCCGCAGGGAATTATTGTGTAATGCTTGAGATAACTAGTGTTAGCACTAACCCCCTCTTAGACTCAACCAGAGGCAAATTGAGAGGACAATATTCTCCCTCACGAGCATGCAATGCAAAGGATAAAAGAAAACAGCTGTCCCTACAAAATTTCTTGGATTTCCACTGAAACTCCACAATAAATCCATTGAAATTCTATCAGAGTTTTACTTAAACATTCCGCTGGTTTAGAATGATTAATGGAATTGCTTACCAGCTTCGAAGCAATACATTGATTTGTTAGGGCGTGTGCATCCTTCATCAGGAATGTCCAACTTTAAAGGCAACAAATCTTTCAATCCATATTCTGAAAACACTGGATTCATCCTCAGCTGGCCCGCGTACCCTGATCTCAATTTCCTGTAATTCGCAATTAATTACTCATCGATTTGTTAAAGCCTGTATATTGCTGACCTTGTGGGAACAACAGGCGAAAATTAATTAGAAGATTATGATTTATTAATTTATTGATTTATTCTGATATAAATTTACACTTCTTCCTTATTCAGTTCAAATTCAATCTTTAAAATGATTCGAATGACCTCCAGCCTGGAGAGAAATGAGTTCTAATCTAGTCCTAAGGAAAACGATACGACGAGAAGATTCGAGCTGGAGACATTCGATATAGGAGACTCGAATACGGAATTTGTAAAAAAAAATGAAATAGTAATCTCACCTGGCGAATTCTTCTCGAATTCCGTAGACGGTATTTCCATCGAGAACTCCAGTGAGAAGATTGAAAGGCACTCGTGACCCAAGACGACAGCCAGGCCTTACAGCGGGGAATGCCCTAACAAAATCCATGCATTTGACGTTGAACAAACGATAGAAGTAATCGTCGTCTGGGATTTTTATCTCATTGCAGTACGGATTCTTCAGGTGAGGGGGCTTCGAGCAGCACTCCTCAGGATCATTTCGATTCATTGGATCTTCAATAAAATTTTAAAATCTATTTATCCCATTCTTTGCAATCAAGAATTCCAAATTTGAGATATTTTGTACGATGTCATGAAATTTTTCATTTTTTAGCAACTGAGTTTCTAGTTATTTTGATTGGTAGAGAGACTAACTATTGTTATGACAATGTCAGGGCAAAAATTGCTTTTCGGAGTAAATTTTATGTAAAATGTTTTCTCCGTGTGGAATTAATGAGAATTTACAATAGGCGCAGTGAATTACCGAGTGGTGTTGCAGTGAGAGTATAGTCGTGGTCCATAAATTGTCCCCAGGCGATTACCATGACTGTGCCAGCATGATCATGAAATCCATCGTCAGGGTGCATAGTCCTGGAGACGACTCGTGACAGCGGAAGGTCATCACCAGTAACGGATATTCTTGGAGCTGTCATTCCATCAGCAAACGCTGGAGGCATCAGCCTGATTGTCACAAAGATTATTTGAGATATGCTCGAGGCTAAATTCATGTCCAAATGATCACGATACAAATTCAAATTCAATTTCTCGAGGAATGGAATCACCAGATATTGTTTTACCTTTCGCAAAGCCGAATGATTTTTTCCGAGATAAGTTGATGGCATAAAATTGTAAGGCTTTCATAATAAAATCCAAGAGAAAAATTAGCATAACTAATGTCCAAGTATTTTTATGAAAAAAATTTCAACCTAATTAGGAATAATTAGAAAAGTCATTTACTGTAATTTTATTTTTAAAAAATGGCCCAGAAAATAAATAAAATCCAGATGGAATTCCAGAGAATTTAGAAAAATGAGGGAAGTGTACCTTCAGAGATTGGGGATTCCTTATTAAATTTTAGAAGGGTAAATTGAAAAAAATTAGGGCCCAGTCCTTGAAAATGAAACATTTATTTTCTCTTGGAATAACGGGTGGGCACATGTATCTAGGTCGATGGGGAAAGCAAGGTTGAATGAAAGGATTCGAGAAAGGACCAACGTCCATTGAGAATTCGTATCGTGCAGTTAACAATATCGAGAGTTTGAATTTCACGTGATGACGTACCTGGCGAACGGTGAGAGAGCTGCACCCCATGTGGGATTTTCCAAATTTGTGCAGAGACCATCGAATCTCCGGTATTTCCCCGGACGACACTCTACGTTGCTGACGAATCCTGGACAGACTTCATGAATGAGAGTCTTTGAAGTGTCAATCTGAGGTAGACCTCTTTCTACTTCCTCTCTCGTCAGTCCATATCTTTAAAAAAGCGAATTCATCGAATTTCTTCAATTCTATTCAGAGAAAAACTAAAGTTAAAATTTAAATGTTAAAAAAAAGTATTTGCCAAACCAAAAATGATCTTTTTTAGAATAGTAATAAAAACGAATCATTATTACTAGAATTCTCATTATTTCTCCTTCAGATTTCCTTTGATCGTAATTGCAATTTTCTCTGAATCGACCCAATGGGTTTTTTTCAATCAAAATTACATATTTATAATGCCATCAGTAAGTTAAATTAATGAAAATGGCAGTTTTTCTGAATAGGATTTATTTATGAAATGAATATTCTACACTTATGAGAAGTGTGATTCGCCACTCGTAACATTGACAAACCGAACAGCAATGGATTTTTCTTTTTTCAATTGCATTAAAATTTCCGGGAATCATATAATCACCGAGAGAAGGAAGAATAATGATGACTATTACTGGTTATTACTGATTATTCCTGTACGCGTTGTTCATAAATTTTCTCGGATCAAAAAAACATGTTTTTAATTTTAGAAGATCCATTTATTTATTTCTTTAGAAAGTGCAAAAAAGGGAAAAATTCACGAGTCGTAGTAGAAATTCACTGGAATATTTTGATTAGTCTTACATTTGCGCCAAAGTCGTTGAAATGTCCAGAAGCAGTTCTCCAACAGTCGCCAACTCCTCGGGTTTCCATATCTCCGTATGTGGCTGAGCAACATCTAAATAAATTGCTTTATCAGGTTTTACTCCATTTCACGCTTCAATAACAATTTATTGTAAAAGTTCGCAGCACCACAGACTTGATGAACAATTTGAAAAAAGTGTTTATATAATACCTCTTACTTTGCTTATTCATTATAACCATTTTTATTATTTCAGAGTGAAGGTAAATGATTAAACTTACTGATTCGCTTTCGTGCCTTATAATAGGCGCGATTAATTGCCTCGTAAGTGATGCACATCTGGGAACCCGTAGGAGTCCTAAAACCGAAACGATTATGTCATTTGCTCATGCACCCAAAATATTAATAAAAAATCATTGAATTTCCAAAAAAATCTAAATAAATCAATTGAGAATTTCAAAAGAAAAAATGGAAAGAATGAGTACAAGGGATTTTCGATAAATTTCTAAAGATTTCAAGGGATTAACTCAGAGAAAATTTATCATTTTTTAAATTTATTATCCATATATTAATCTTAATTAACCGATTAATCTTTCTACATTGATGTTTGCGGTAACATGGGTCGACTTCCTCGCCAACCGTGTCGCATTTGGGGCAGGAGCAGTAGGCCATGCCCAGACTCTCCTGATGACCACGAAAAAACCATGGAAAACCTTAGCCGAAACGGTGCCCATCAACCAAGCTTCATCAAGAAATATTATTTCCCGTTGATACTTGGTGTCTGGACTCGCGTTCGACGATTTTCGAACGATTAAAAGTCCACTGCCCTCACGGGTTTCGTCGTCCAGTCGAGCGATTTAACCAATTCGGCAACCGTCATCGGTTTAGAGAAAATTTGTTTAAAGTTTAAAAAAAAATGTTTAAAGTTTTTTTCATAAGATTCTGTAGTAGATGAAATATGAATCGCTTGGCAAAATCTGCATACGCTTCTCGAATAAGTGAATTTATTATGACGAATTTCCATGCCGAGAGAAAAATTTTAAATAAGTAATGACTTCTACGCACACGCAATTATTCAAGCAGAAGTACTTGCGATGCATGCAAAACTCCATCATAAATTTCGTCAGTTACTGGAGAATTAGAAAGGCTGAATCGAATTCTAATTGCATTATCGAAAGTCATTGGCAATATCGTAGAATATAAAAGCACACATTATTTTATGTTTCTTATACGATATAATCTATTTTATATACCGCATAAATGCTAAAATTCGTCCAGTCGAATTAAAAGTTCTATCTCGCAAACTATCGATGTCAAGGAAAAACACTAAGGGACTTTTTTCTAGATATTAAAATATTCGACAAAAAATGTCATCTGATATTTTCTCCTAAAATCGACAGTGGGGCAGTTGTTCGCAATTTTTTATGTTAATATCACTAAAGATTTACAGAATGGAACTCCTTTGTGGTTGATGCATTATTGACAAATATTTTTAGTCAAATATTCAGTAGAATTGAATACTAGGTTTTGTTATGCTGATTATTTATGATACATTTATGATTGTAGTGTCGATATTAATCAATTTTGTTGTCAATTGCACAATATGCTTTTTCGGGCTCAAACCTCCCAAGAGGAAGAAATATCTTGTTGGGGGCAAGTTTATTGGATACGATTTTGTTAGAGATTATTTGCATCGCCCCTGTGCGACCGAGTGAAACCACCAGGTAGAAGGTGTGGTCCAGATTAGATCCAAATCCGGCAGTTTTACTCCCAGCGGACGCTTTCACCAGCATGTGGAGACAGTTGTTTCGCGAGAGTTATCGGTTATCACACAGAGGATTTCGAATTATTTTACGAATCGCATACTCCCATCTAGTCTGAGAAAAAAAGTCACTTTTTAAGAAGACTATTTACTTTAGTACACGATAATTTTCTCCTATTAATTTTAGGAAACAAAATTAAATAAAACATGGATTCAATGCATAATAAGTATCAATGTATAAGTGCATGTAATTTAAGATTAATTATTAGTCGATATCTCGCCGGAGAAAGGGAATAGAGAAATTTTCATAGATATCCTCTCTGCAGAGTACAGTGTGAATTAAAAAGAACATTATTATCGGAATTTTGGTCTCTTCTGTTCTCTTCTCTTTTAAAAGAAACTCATCGTAAGTGATTGCCGCTAAACGAATCCAAGCACTCATTCTAGTTTCACAATTCACTGTAGAAATAAAATAAAAATAAGTAAATTCCTTAATGAATAATTAATTATTCATATTATTAATATGTGAATTTGTTTTCCAGATTGCGAGAGAAAAGTGTTTGGAAATCGTTTTAAATTGACATGAGGATATTTTCTCGTTGGAACTAGTGAATCTTATTTGTCGAAAGTAATTTTTTAATAAGGCAGTCAATTTAATTAGTCATATTGAGAACTGAGAAGTGATTTGAACTGATGCTATGGATTAGTAGATAAAAACATCTCCAAATAAGAATGACGAAATGGCTAATTCACATACTGAATATTCAAAGTGCAGTCTGATATTTCATCCTTTTACGATTATTCATGTAGAAACTTGTGACAATTCTGAAAGTGAAATTGCGTCAGCGAGAACGAGGAACTAAAATGAATGAACCGGATCGTAACTACCAATTTACGAGAATATAAAATATAACTCGAATATGGAGGCCGAAATCGCTGAGAAAAATATCTTTTGTATCGACTGATAACATGTCTGAGGTGCAAGGGGTTTTCTTGTTATTCGTCGTGTTCATGCCCTGGAATTTCAGGCCATTTGAAAGTACAAATGATTGTTACACTTTGGAATAAATCGAGAATAGAGGGTGACCTTGTCGTGTGCGAAAATTCCTCGCATTTTATCATCGAATCCGGAATAATTTATTACAAAATTTACCCTTATCTGTGGTAAATCGAGAAAAATTCATTTTCAATTTGAAAAAAGAACGTCTGGATCTGTTTATTTGATCGAAATCAATCGTTTTTTAGGGGATCTGAGTATAATCAAGAAATTTATTAGTTTATTATTCGAATGCAACAACTCACTGGCTTCCACGAAGTAAATTGTACGTGTAATCATAAGCACTAGTTCTCCCTGGGCTATTGAGGATCAGAGCACATCCATCATCATTGGAGTAATTCTCCAACGAGTCATATTGCAATCCTACACAGCAACTGCAAATCAGCAGCAAAAATACCGCAAGGCACCTTCTCACAAGCCTGAAACCCAAAAGTTTATAATAATTCCTTATGAACAATAATCGATTTTGCGTCCAATTTACATTAATTGTAGTTGTTTGTTGCTTGAATCTGATTGTTTTAACACGAATCTGACATTTCAATCTATCGCAAGATAAGCAACACAATGTGACAAACGACTGACAATAATATTAATAGCCAAAGGTTAAAAGAGACAAGTTGACTCAATTTTACGCTAATTTTTCCGCAGAATATCTTCGCAACTACGGCAGATATCGATTTTTCTCTCGAATGTGAATTAATTTCAAAAAAAGATCTTGAGAATATTGATGAGAATTATATCTCATACTTTCGGAGATATTTAGGAAAAACTCGGCGAAGAACCGAAAAGAATCGACTCATTTTTAGTTTAATACATATTTCTTTACTTATTGGATTATATATATATATATATATATACGTATAATTATTTTATAGAGACCATTTCTTCAGGTTCGATAAAAAAAACCATAATTCAAACAAGCGCATTAACACGTATCCTAATGTCCCCGCTAATTGAGTTGTAAATTCACGAGTTTTTTTTATTAGTCTCGAGTCTTTCGCAAATAGAGATTCGTCACGGTAATCACTAGTGAACACTTTGTGTTATTATCTCTGCCCCTGGCTAATTCCTGTCTAATGACTGCTGACCTTGCCCTGCGTCGATCTAAAATTACTGTTTTACTTACATTTGCATGCACAGTTGCAATATTATTTGTCTCCTAAATAATTAATTCTTCAATTTTTCACAGTCTTCCCATTCAATTCACTCAAATTCCCAGTTTGTTTACTTATCATAATCAGAGGAGGATTTTCTGACAACAACTAATTGTCGTCTCAATAATCAATTCTTCGGTTTTTCATATTTTTTCTATCTACATCGTTCAATCATTAGATTCAATAGAGTTTATTAAATAGACCATTGAGTCTAGAGAAAATTATAATAGAGTAGCAATTACATTTTTTATGGTTTTTCTATGGCGCTGTGAAATTACAATAAAATTACAATTATAGCTTTGAAACGAAATGATTTATTTTTCGCTACCAAAAATGTATGTTCTGCTGCAGAAATAATTAAATGGTGACATGACAAAAAAATGTAAAAAATTGCAATTTCAATGGTGTTGTAAAAATTTCAGTATTTCTGCGGTACTTTTAGAAAAAATTATAATTTTTGTCGTGATATTTTGATGAAAATACCTTCAAAGTTACCATTTCTAAACCTTAGGGTTAATAAAGTATAAATTTTTTCCTGTCCATCTTCTGCGGTTGTTTTTCATCCCGTGAAATCATCTTTCATGATCGTAATACCTTCATTGTTCTTGCGAAAGCCAATTACCATGTTATCTGTTTTTTTTTCACCAAACGTTTGTTGAATGAATACTCAAATCAATAACTCTCATGTATCTTCAAAAGAAAGTGTGAAGTCGTTTAAATTGGAGGAGTGCTTGCAGTCTATTGCAGCACTTCGTCACACTTATTACGACTCCTTTTTGTAAGTAAACTGCCGGTGAGTAATTTATTTTACTATTGTCGCTTCTCATTGATTATCTCCACGATATTGGCTTCCACGCCCAACATACGGATCTCTACACCTTCACGGCCAAACGATTCTGCGGTTATTTTTCCAGGAAGAAATAGTGAAAGTGGAAGAAAGAGTGATTAAATGGTAATCAATTACTGGCAATGACATCCGTATTATCTGTTCTTCTATTCTCGATAAAAAGCTCAAAACTGAGAAAATAGTCCAAGGATTCGTGTTTTTCTACTTCGGGGGGTTCCAGCAATCAATCAATCTATTAAAAACATTGCGTGATAATCACGAAAAAATGTATATTTGTACCATATACTTTCACGGAATGGAATATTTACTTCTAAATGAGGAAAGTGGCATTTTTTTAATTCTAATATTTGAATTGAATTCATATTTTGAAGTGAATGTTCTGGAGTTGTTCTAAATAATTATCTTACAAAGAATTTTTTCGAGTTGTGAAAAAAGGGATATAGGTACGCAATCTCTTGAGGATGACGAGATTTGTGCAATTTTTAAGAGATTTACGCAAGGCGAAAATTTTTGTGTCTAAACAAATGACATTATTAATTGAACCGTTCATTTCAACTCATTAGCGTGTGGGATTAGCCAATACGAACAACCATCGTATCCTGAATTACAAAAGAATGATTGATGATGTGATGGAGTGTACCATAAAAAGTCTATGAAAAATTCACAAAGCGTTATACCATTTTAATTCGACTCCTCAAATTCCCTGATTTTCCCTGATTTCTCATCATTATTCCGAGATACCAGACAATTTGTAGAAAAACAAATTACCATTTTTTGTGAAATTTTTACAAAATAAACGATGTAATAATTAATTACAAGATAATTTCTAATACAATATGAAATTGCAATAAAATTTTAGTTAAATTTTTTTTTTTATTTCTGAAATTTCTTGTAAGATTTCGAAAGTCCAGAGAAAAAAATTGCAGTTTTCAGAATATTAGAACAAGACCTCGGAATTCCGAAACTACCTGCCAAATAAATTAACGAGTAAATGGATGGGATCTCTACTGAGACATGTGGATTGTTTTGTAATGAATGAATTAACGCGATACGAACTTTTTCGAATGGGATGAGGAAATGATAAAAGGTGAATTAAAATGAACTTGCCCTTCGTCCATTTTACAACCGACTGTTGAGGTGATGTTGTTGCAGAAAATGGCACAGCACACACGTGAAAAAGTCACTGAAAAGACGAGTAGTTCTCAGAGGAGTGTAGCACACCGCGAAAGAAACCTGACTGAGCAGCACAAACCTTCGCTCACCGGTTGTTCTTCGACTTCTGGCCGCAGAATCCTAGTTGTCTTCAAGATAATTCCATCGAGACCTCGATGTAGGAGTGCAAATCCGAAAGCTCCTCCAAGTAATGCGAGAAGGGAGAAATTTGAATGTCTACCGCTGACCACCGAAAATTTATGTCATGCATAAAAATACACCAAATAAATGGTTTTTTTTTCAATGTTTCCTCATCTTCTCCTTCTTAAAAATTAACTCAGATTAATTCCTGTCAATTCTCCAATTCTGCAATTCTCCAAAGTACTTTATTCCTCATTATCTTTTCTCAATTTTACCCCCTAAATATGCGAGGTCATACCGGCACCTCGACTTAATCCCAATCGATTGATTAACTTATATCATCCACACGTCCAGCATCATAGAATTACGTAAAATCAATGTTACGACAATTCGCGAAACGGATTTGTATGAGTGATACACTTGGCATTTCATGTAAATTCTACATTCTTAACAACGACAAAGTTATCAAGTTAATTTCCCGAATATTCTGGTGATTTGCCGTTTTATCCTGCATATGGCACTGGAAAAGCGTAAAATTGTTCGAAATTCAGATAATAATTTCTACATCATCAATCTATTGAAAATTCAACTGTATTTCATGGTGAATTTTCAGGATGAGCCTGAATATGTAAACACTTATTGAAAAATCAATTACCAGTCGACATGAAAAATTGACTGTATTCACTGAATGCCCCAGTTTTTTGCGTATTTACTTTGCGTTGTTGCTAAATTCGTGGAAGAACTAAATTGCCACTGGAATTATAATTGCCGTTTTCATGAAAAATTTGATCAATTTCATTGATAATTGAATATTGAAAATGAATATTGAAATTGAATTGAATGAAAAAGATGGCTGCGTTTTTGGAATTGTTAAGTTTCTCAATTTTACAAGAGTATTTTTTTTCTCAGTGCAATGAAGTGTAATTGAAGTGATGATGAGGACTTGAACTGAATTTGATTGAATTAATTAATTGATTGATGATTTATGGACATCGAAACTTTGAAAAGAAGGAGAAAGGTAAGGAGTGCTTTTGAAATTATGAAATTTCTTAATTTTATACAAGTGATTATTTTTCTGAGTGCAATAAAGCGTGAGTAAAATGGAGTGATGAGGAGTTGGGGATTTCTGCGAGAGGAAAGAGGAAGCCTCACCGACAAGTGACGTTGAAATCACGAGTCTTGTAGAGTTGGGTAAAGTAAAAGTAAAGTAGCATCACATGATCGACTCGATTCTACACTCGATGCGGTGTTTCTCCGACGGATGAAAGAAAACGGCATTGACGCAATCGACCATCTCCTTTGTTCCTTTCTTTCCCGGAGATCGATGAGAAAACGATTTTCACGATCTAAATACATATTGCATATTATAAAATATAAATATATTAAATATAAAATCAATGGCAAAATTGGCGCAAATAACAGCACGATTTTCCAGTATACTGATATATCGACGAGTTTTTGCACTCGGTTAAATTAAATGCTGTCGAAACTAGTTACCAATAAATAAAACTTCACTCCTGTTGAACTACTTTTCGCATAATTCTCGGTTGAATGTTTCATATTGTCAGTGATTTAGATTCTGGGGAAAATGTGATAAAGTCAACTGGCAAAAGTGGAGCGAAAAAGGAGATCATCTAGACATTCCGTGGTAAAAACTGGAATTTTGTGGTGTAATGTAAGAGATTAGACAATGGATGAGACAATATTAGGGTGCAATGGAAAAACATTCAGGCTTTGAATTCTATTCTCCCACATTATGGTGATCACGCGGCAAACCCTGAGGGCAACTTGTAGTCATGTGAGTTCCGTTGCCACGGCGCTCCATAAATTTTCTCTGAAATAATTCTCTCTCGTGTGAGAATTGGTGCAAAAGATAGTGAGAATGCCAATGTCCTTGTGAGGGCAGCATTAAAAAGGCCAACAATACTCTGCTTTTCATCCACGAAATTCATTTTGCAGCTTCCTTTTATTCTGATTTAAACACCATTTTTTATAAGGAAATTGTCACAAAAACATTTCATTACCATTAAGGATTATTCGTTATTACATTTTTTTTTTCAAAAAAATGACCAATGGAGTTTTTGTCCGGAGATTCTGATAAAAATTACAGTTTTTAATTAATCATTTTTTCGTGCTAATGGGAGAGAATAAGACCCTCAGAAAAATTAATGTTTTGCAGATACCTAGTGTTCTCCATTAGCTTGCAAACAAAAAACTCTGATACTTTTTTTGCGGCATTTTAGGGTTAAAAAGTTGTTTGAGAAAAAGTGAATTTTTTAAATTAATTGATGAGTTTTCACGTGTTTATCACAGAGATGGGCAACCAGGTGCCCTCGCAGTTGTGCCCATAAAGTTATTAAGGATGTTTAACTGCTCAAGTGAGCAACCGTGTCGAAAACTAAAATTAAAAAAATTTTAATAAATCATTTACGATATAAATGATTTTTTCTATTAATTTACAAGCCTCATGGCATACTTTTCGGTTCAAATTATCAAGAAACATGAGAAATGTTTATAAACATTCACGTATGGGTGACTATTGTGGTGACCCTCGTGTTTTGACTGTCCAACACCACATTTAGCCAGCTGCTCTGCCATCATTGTTTTATCGTCATCTACCTTGCCGACATTGCTAGGCTGTAAGAACAATTTTGCCAATATTTTGGAATCGTAATGGCAACCACTTATTTTCAGATGTTTTAAGAAATCAATCACAAATTTCTCGCGTATTGTATCGGATACCCTAATTTTTCTCATGGGTAAAATATTTCCCATATTGCCAAGTACATGAGTGCATTGTTTTTTTTTTAAACGTTGAGTGCATACCCTAGTACCCTTTTCAATCAAAGCTAATGCAGTCAGATTTTTCCATAAGACTGTGCTACAGAGAGGTGTTTTCAATACTGATTATCCAGCTAAAATGGATGGATCGGGGGGTCGAAAATGTGACTAGTGTATGGTTCATACTCTAGTAAAATACTCTCAAAATATAGACTGTTGAATTTTTTCGGGGTCGGTTGAACATCCTGAAAGAGCAAATTATAATAGACCTAACGTTATTGCAAGGGTTGCGTATATTCGTGTGGGTAAAATGGGTTAAATTTTTATAAACGTGTTTGGACATTTTCTTTTTAATTAGAAAAATGGAAGTTATATCATTGTTCAGATTCAAACGTTCATCGGTGGTAATGAAAATGGGATGCTCGTGAACTTGCAAGGGAAAAATTTCATGTTTCATAATTGTTCAAATTTTTATCAGCACTAATATTCAGACTCATTTACGTTCAAGTCACTCAAGCTGATCTAAAAAATTTCAAATTTTTCTTGCTTTTGGAAAAAAGATATCTTTCTTGAATATGAAATTTCGACAAGAAATGGAGGGAAAATTTTTCTATTTTTTTAACTCCGAGTGATTTATGAAAATGAGTTAAAATGTTAACACTAATGAAAATTAGACAACTCAATTTTCCTTCCCTCAAGTTCACGATCATCCCACTTTTAATTTCATCGTTAAATATTGAATTTTAAATACCATATTACCTTTATTTTTTGTCCAGGAAAAAAGTCCCAATACGTGAGAAATATACTATTACGGGGTGATTTTATATGAAAAAAAGGCTAGACCAATCTATATTGATCCCCTGAATAAATTATAGGTTAAATATCTCCAAAGATTAAAGGACGCTGATAATGTTTTTCACAGTGAGAAGTTTGTGCATTAAAGTTTGGTATCGAGAGCAGGAAATATATATAGAAACGAACAGGTTGAAAATACATGTCAAGTTAGAACTTTTAACAACGTCCTAATATTTGATCATTGTTTTCCAAACAATATTTCTTCTTCAAGAAAACTATGAAAAATACGAGTTTTCCTTCTTGTAAAGTCGATTAAAAATAGCCAATAATCAATTTAAAAAATAACAACAATAGATACAATAATTTAAAAAATGTTCCATTAAATAAATTAAAAACTTCCCTATTTTACTTTTCCCACCAGCAAGTTTTTGCCGAATATCCCTACTACTCTTACCTACGCGCAGGGCATCATGGGCCTGAAGGGGGTACAGCCATAAACTTTATGGCTTGGGACAATTTTGCCTAATCGAGGTCGGGAGCTGGAGTAGCTCCGAGAGCTAAGGTTGCCCACGTCTGGGCTATAGGCATTAGCAAAACTTCGAACTTCCTGAGGGCCTTATTCTCTCCTATTACCTTTTTCGTGTTTTTGATGATAATTTCTACGAATTTTCTTTCTGCCAATAAATTTTTCAATATTGATTATTCGTTCTGAAATCAATGGGTTTAACTGATAATTTCCGTTCATTTTGTAGGGGAAAAAATAGACGAGTAACGGAAATCGTGGTGTAAAATGTCTTATTGCCAACTAATCCCAATCTTTTTTTATTATCCCTCAGCGCCGGGTGAAAGTGAGTGGAGTAGGAGCGAAAAAATATAAATAATAAAGGCATCAAGCAGCACGAGCCGACCAAAGTCGAATACAGTGGAATTCGCATGAGAAAAAAGCTATTTCATACAACTATAAAAATGTAATTAAGGCTATCAACACCTTCGTAATGGGGAAAAGATCGAATAAATCCCAGGGTTTTTTAGCCTGCAGCAGCAACAACCACAGAAAATATCTCAAATCGTTCTTCCACCTATGGCGATTTACTTTGTCTCATTGCGGAGCAATTAATTTGTTGATTCGCTAAAAACAATATAATACTAGAACTTTTACTGTAAAAGGAGTCCGATGTCATCGCGCGCTAGAGATTTACCTCAATTCCGGGTCAAGTTCAGATCAAGCCAGACTTGATATTGGATCAGATACTGATCCTACAACTTGATCAATACTTGATCAAGCATGTAACGCCTTGACTCGGTCCGGATTTGATCAGACATGTTGAACCAGAGTTTGAACAAACAAAGTAGATTAATACTTGATAAACAAAAATGAACATATTTATTACTGGTAATGAATGCAAAATAAAAAATTGTTAATTTTTTTTTACATTATAGTACCTTTATCAAGGAGTACTTATCATAATTAATGCTGAAAAAAACTAATTATTTTAGCCGAGGCTGGGGATCGAACTGGTGTGCTTACAAGTACTAACTCTATGCCCTAACCACTTTTTTTTTAATTACCGATTTATTTTATTACAATAACAATAGGTATGTACATTATTTACAACCTTAAAGCCCGTACAAAAACAATGGTCCTACGAGTATTTTATTTAAACTTAAAACAATTGGCCTAGTAGAGGCTCTCGAGTTTTTTTAATATTAATGTTTTTGCCATGTGAGCGACGTTTATTTATCCATTTGAAATAAAATTGGTGCAAGTATACTTTTTTGTTAAAAAAAAAGCACAACCCTATTTACGCATATTCAAATGTTGGGAAAAGGAACAAGCAGTTTGCCGTTCCTAGCCATAGAAGACATATGATTGTTACTTTACATGTTATTTATTTATTTTGTAAATTTTATTTTGCCATCAATTTCATTGATGGTTGGCTTCCGAATTGAGTACCTGTAATCTCTCAAACTTTCATATTTTTGGAATTAAGCCTATCTTCAATATGAAACATTATGGCCATAACAGAAAACGTTGTGCCAAATTTCAAGTTGATAGAGTGATTTTTAAAAATCAGAGAGGGTGTACGTCGCATTTTTTTTTAAACATGAAAATTGAAATATCTTCAGATTTTTTTTCGAACGCGTAAAACTCTTTGGTTCATATAATTAGGGCATAATGTACCGAATATTTTGCAAAAAAAGAAAAATAAAATAAATTGTGTTGTTTTTGAGATATTTGAGAAAATCGTTTCAGATACAAAGTTGAATATCTCCTGAACGAATCATCCGATTTAGCCTATCTGCAATACCAACCATCGCAGTCACAAGAGGAATCTTTCTGCCAAATTTCAAGTTGATAGATTGATTTTTAAAAATGAGAGAGGGTGTAGTTCGCATTTTTTTGGAAAAAATAAAAATTGAAATATCTTGAGAGTTTTCTTCGAACGCGTAAAACACTTTAGTTCATATAATTAGTGCATAATGCACGGAATATTTTGCAAAAAAGAAAAATAAAATCAGTTGTGTCGTTTTTGAGATATTTGAGAAAATCGTTTCAGATACAATAAAGTTGAATATCTCCTGAACGAATCATCCGATTTAGCCCATCTGCAATACCAACCATCGCAGTCATAAGAGGAATCTTTCTGCCAAATTTCCAGTTAATAGATTGATTTTTAAAAATGAGAGAGGGTGTAGTTCGCATTTTTTTGAAAAAAATGAAAATTGAAATATCTCGAAAAATTTGTAGGAACATATATATATATTCTGACTGATCCATATAGAGCACATTGAGACGAACATTTCAAAAGAATAAAAAATGTAAACGGTTGGATAGTTTCTGAGATATTTCCAAAAAACTTTTCAGAAACAATCATAGATATTTCAAAAACTACTCGACCGATCGGGCTGAAATTCAGCACAGATGAAGTCCATATTAGAACCTATGAACTGACCAAATTTCAGATTTTTGGGAATTAATTTACCCAATTATACTCCTTCTTTTGTAAAAATTGACGCTCAGCTAACCATAATCACATACGCACACGGTCTACAAACGTGGTATTTTTACGTTTCAGATCATTCTACATCATTTCCAGGCAAAATTAGAGAATCGAAAAATCGAACGATTACAATGCTTCCGGTCGGAAGCAAAAAGGGAAAAAGAAGTGATAAGGGTTAAATGAGGGTTTGAAGCTATTGTTTAAATATTATTATTGTTTACAAATACTTATCTAGATTTGACTACCTGTTTGTTATGGAGTCACAATGGAAATCAAGACTCCTTTTCTTATGTATTTGTTTTTTCTTTTTACGACTTTTTTTTTTTAATTTAAGGAGAGCGAAAGCTACTTTTCCTTCTCCTATTTCGGAAGTTATTCTTATTTTTATTCCTTTAACTTTCATATCTGGCTTTTAATACCTTCATAAATTTATAATTATTTTTTAACAACCAAAAATCTTTTTTTATTCGGGTGAAATCTTCGTACTCTCTTTTGGGGATCTCTCTAGGGTATGCGAGACGGATGCAATTAACATAGTCGATGGAAATCTTTTTATTTTTTGAATGTCTAGGGATGTGGTAAAGAATTGGTCTGTTCAAATGGTCTTGGATCAGATCCATTTTATTTTATTTTACGTGACCGCATCTTGCTGTACCAATGGTCTCTTCGATTGGGAACTTCGTTAACTGATTTATTGTTTCATTGTTAATTGTCTTGAAATTGTGAAAGTATTTCCTTGCCATACGAATGATAAAGTTATCAATTCTGGAAATATCTGGCCTATTATATAGGATCTTGTTGCTTATCCTTTTGAAACAGTTCGATTGTTCTGATCTATACAAAAATAAGGCTTATCTAAGACAATTAATTTCGAATACTCTCAGTCTTTTAATTTGATGCGCATCCGTGTTCTTAATAATGGCCTGATCAACAATAGATAGCAAATGATCCTAGCTCTTTTATTGATAAATTTATTATGAAATAAGTGACCAAGGGCTTTACATCTTTTCCTGGGCTTTTAGGTCTGTATATATGTCCTAACCCGGAGTCGGGCAACCTCGGGTAGGCTCGGGGCTGTAGCCTTAATAAAATTATTAAGGTTCCCATCATAAGGGACCTAACGTGATTACAAGGGTTGTCCTATATTTGTGTGGTGGGAGTAACATTGAAAGATGGCGCATGCACGTGTGCGAAGGAGAAAAGTGTGCGGAAATAGTGTGAGAGGAACTAGAGTGCGAACAATTGTGTGGAAGAAATGTTGGGAAGATCGTGAGGAGAACTATTGTGTGGAGTGTGTGGAGGATTTTTTGGGAGAAGAACGTCCGAGGAGAACGAGGAGAGAGAAGGAAGGAAGGAGGATCAACCCCGAGGAAAACCGAGAGGATTTTGAGGACACCATTCCCCGTGAGTGCCCCATTTTTTATTCCCTGCCCCAACGAATTTCCCTGCCCGTGTTAATTTCCCCCCAACGGTGAGCCTCCAGTAAATTCATGTTAGTTGTGAATCAAGCCCCCTACTAATGATTACCTTTTCAGTTGGCCCCCCTGACTTCTCCCCCTTTTTCCAGAGTTAGAGTCACCCCCTCTTTTTATGTTACACTATTGCGCGTAGCCGCAAGTGAGTTGGCCTTACCCCCCCACCTTCGAGTTAATTAGTCAAAAGGCCTGGATTATTTTTTTGTATTAACATCGGTGTATTATGGAGACTAGAATATATCAAAAATCAATCTACCTAAATCCCCCCGAGTAATTATTGAAGACCCCCTCCCCCACCCTCTTATTATTTCAGGTCCCCCTTAAATTATTTAGATTACTGGATTTTGCCCCTAATTTGATTTTCCCGGATATATCGTGTCTTCTCCGACAATTAATATATTTTAAATTCCCGGCCAAGGTCACAAATTTTGGTGTGGTGGGAGTAACATTGAAAGATGGCGCATGCACGTGGTTGAAATGTGAGAGCAAAATGGTTTGAATTTTTATGCACGTGTTAGGACATTTTCTATTTGATTAAAAAAAAAGGAATTAAAAGATGATGGTTTAGATTCAACATTGGTCGGTGAAAATGAAAGTGAGATGTTCATGAACTTGAGGGAGAAAAATTCCAG